GTTTTTAGCCTGATTCATTATGGTTTTAAATGGGTTTTATACTGTCTAATGAAAAAATATATTTAAGTGAGAGTGAAATTTTAAAATAAATTACATTCCATCCTCAGTATCTGTAAAACCACAGCAGGTGTTTTAATCTTACACTTTTGATGAAATCTCCTAAGTGTTAGCTTTATTTTGATACTAAGATTATTTAAGTAGAGTTTGTAAAAGCTGAGATACACTCAGTCACATCTCAGCGTGGGATTTAGAGCAAAAACATCTAGAAAACCCCTCGGAACTTATTAGTTTGAATGTTTGCAACCAGTCGTTTAGAAACGTACCCAGAAACTTCCTCATGATGGCGTTGGACTGTTTTAAAGCCTCGGCTCGGTGGGCGGGGTCAAACAGCAGCCATTCGATGACGTCGATCTTCTTTTGGTCGTCCTAGCAGAGCGCAGGAACTCAGGTTTTATTAAATCTACGAATGTTAAACTTTCAGCTGAAGTTGAGTTTTTACTTTTGTCGTTCCCGTCTCCAGCGTTTGGTTGTGATGCGTAAAGTCGCTCTCGTCTTGCTTTCTTACGGTCTCCACCACCAGCTTCGTCACGGCGGCCACGTCCAGACCTGCGTCCACAAATCAAAGCGTCAGGACGCTCTCAGGACACCAGGTCTCCGTGCTCAACGCGCCGCGTCTCACCAGCTTCGGTGGCGAGCTGCAGGCATCGAGGGCGGAGCTCCGGCTGGGTGATGGTCTCCAGGAAGGCGGCGTACTGGGAGGTGGCGAGGTCAGCAGGAAGCTGGCCGACGTAGCTCGCCACCAGGTTGGTCTGCTGGTCCCGGATCAGGACTGAGACGTACGCTTTCAGCACCTCGACGCTGACTTCCTCCTGAAACCGTCTGAACTTAAAAACAAACTTCACCCCGAGTCAGCTTTTACTTCAACAAAACTAACCTTCAGGGCCAAACCCAGGGAGCGGAAAAACAGAACCAGGTGACTCATGAAACGCAGCAGGTGTGAGGGGAGGGGCTTAGAGGCAGTCAGCCAATGAGAAATCTCCTCCATTAAACCTGATTTCAACAAAAGAAGAAAGTTAATTTAAGAGCTTTGAATTCATTTCTGTGAAACGCAGTCTGAACGCTGAAGCTTGCTGAAATAATGAGTGAAATGTAAAAGAAGCAGAACATTAGCTTAAAGCACAAAGAAGCTAAATGCTAGTTCCTTAGAATAGATGTAGCAGCTTTTACACCTCAATGTCAAATGTTTAGCTAAAGCTAAGTAAAGCCTAAAAGCAGCTAAAGATAGCAAGGAGTTAAAAGTGTCAAAAGACAATACAAAGGCTAGCTAAAAGCTAACTGTATCAAAAGACTACTTAAGCAGTGGGACGTTTGGCTAATTTGGGCTTTTTTTAACCTACAAATTCTTGTTTTATTAAATTACAGTTATTAAATAACACAAATCAAAACCAAAAGGAGCAGATTGAAAGTTGCAGAAAGTATAAAATAAGCTGAAAATATTGAACGGCTAGCTAAAAGCTAACTGTATCAAAAGACTATTTAAGCAGGGGGTCTGCAGATGAAAGGCTTTTGGTTAATTTCGGCTTTTTTAACGTACAAATTGTTTTATAGAATTAGTTATTAAATAACACAAATCAGAAACAAAAGTAGCAGATTGAAAGTTGCAGAAAAGTATAAWATAAGCTGAAAATAATGAACGGCTAGCTAAAAGCTAAAGGTAACAGAACAGTTGTGAAAAGCTAGAGAAGACAGGTAGCTAAAAACTAAAAGAGRAGCAGATTTAATGGAACATCTACTACGTGTTCCTAATTACTAGACACTTTTTTATTTTATAGACACAATGAACTTTCTTAGGTTAATGGAACAGTTTTTAAAGGAATTGGAGAAAATGTGTTTTATGAGGAAATAATATCTGAATGAGCTGAATGTTTTGATGTACAAAGAGCTAAGAGAAAAAGTCTGCAGAGAAAAATAAAACCTTGTGTTTTTACCGTCCAGATCTCCGACTATGACAAACTTCTGGATGACGTGGTAATGTTCTTTAATCTCATCCAGGACTCTCTGAGCAGAAACACACAGAACTGATTCATTTTCGGTTTGGCTACGTTTAACTTAACACTGATGTGAAGCTCACCTTTGATTCAGACGCTTGAAGCTCCTCAAACACTTTTTCCATGGTCCAGCTGAGGACAGAAACTGAAGTCAGAACCATGCCAGACGGTTTATTTCGTTTGGACTAAAGCAGATCGTTCGGTTCCTACTTGGCCTCCAGATATTCCCGCGGCAGTGTCTCCACTTCCTGGTGGGCCATCCCCGACGACATCAGCTCCTTCTCAACCAGCGAGTCCACCATCACTCTGAAGAAGGCCCAAACGCAGTCCTCCCAGGACTCGCACACGGCCAGGAGCTGAACACAGAACCACGGGTCAGAACACGCCTCGGAGGAGGAAACCGTAACTGAAAACACGTACCGGTCGCAGGTTTCCACTCAGGCTGGCGTAGATCGCCCGCTCGTATCGGTTCAACTGCTCCTAAAAAACACACACACACACACGGGTTTGACGGGCTTTTATTTTGACAGGGTTCAGAAGGTTTCCTCCTACCTCTTCAGCCATCCTCCAGCAGCAGGCCTTCCAGATGCCTCTGTGTGGGTTCCCTTCAACCGGCTGCAGCTCCAAGCTCCCTGCAGCCACAACATGAAACACATCACTAATCAGCTTTAAAATAAAACTTTCACTTCAGGGTTTCCTACAGTTTAAGGCAAGTTRAATTYAAGACTTTTTAATGCCAAATAAAACTAAATTTCACGACATAAAGGACAAAAAAATAAATAAAAACTGGCAGAAACTCATGAATCTAAGTATTTTTGGTTGAAGTATTCAAATACTCCTAATAAACAAATTGTTTTTAACCATATCCAATTGCTTTTTTGTCAAATATAGCAGAAACATTCTTAGCAG